AGCCTTGGAAATGATCATGCATACAATGGACTCCGAACTAGGTGCGTTCCTCCAAGTCTTCCTACCAATATGACCATGTTGCGAGAACAAGGTGAAACAACTTCTATACACGAGTTTGATTTATTTGTATCGCTTACTTACGAATAGTCATACTTAGGGTAGGGCGCCATGGAAAAATTTTAATTGAAAAAGGGCGCCGCGACTAGGAAAATTTTGGGAACCACTGTATTAAGTTATGCTTCAAACCCCAGCCTCTCTTAGAAGAACTCAGAAATTAGAAGTTTGACCCCGTTTGTGTAAATTGGTCGTGGTATCAACGGGGCATAGATGATGCACCTTTGTCGCGGTCATCTATTGGAAAAACCAGAATGGTTTCAAGCCTCGAACCGCATGCTTGACATTCTTCTAAACCTTGAGCCGGCATCGTAGTTGGCATAGTCAATGAAACCTTTCGGGTCTGGAAATGTACCAATTTCACGGTCGAAGCTGGAAATTACCATGCCTATAGTGGCACTGTGCTCCGGATAGTATTCCCTCAAATTGGTCGTCCTGACGACAGAATGCATTTGCAAAGCGTGGTTAAACCACTTCGGCACATCTAAAGGAGACTTCGACCAAAATAGAAGCTGTCATATCTTGATCTTCATGCCTTCGAGTACAGAAATATGTGTTTGTTATTCATGCAATGTCAGTTGCTACGTTACAGCATTCAGCTTTGCCAATGTCTTGGGAAGAAACTAAACCTATCTAGCTTCACAACAATGCATGTATTTGTCGTCCAGACTACCAAATTCACTGAGCGTTCAGCTTTTTGTCCTATTCAGATCAAACTGAAAAAATAAATAGTCCACTGAAGCATTTCAATGTCTAGTCTTTGCCATACAGGTTTTGGCAATTTTTCGTTCTTAACTGCTCACAAATGCGAGCTTATGTAATCTTTACCGGATGCAAAGACAGAAAAAATGATTCGCAAATCAACCGTGCATCATTAGAAGCAAAAAGGATGTATTCGCGAATTAACTTGACAAAGAAACAGTTCTTCATTCCATGATTAGGAATTTATTTTTTACTTGATAAACAGTTTTCTATTGCTCTAGCAAATACAGCCATGCTTAATCGACAATCCGACCACAGAATGAGATATTGCAAAATGTCTGACCTTCCTCAAAGTGCACATTTGCTCTGTGAACCAAGCTCACTTGTGACAGTGTGGTGTAGTGGTTAACCCGTCGAGAATATGCATTGCAGTATAGCAGTTCGAGTCCCGCCAGGGGTGCCGACGAGACCGGTTTATGCGAGGTTGCAACTGCAGTTCACTCTACTCTGGATGAGAATACCTTTATGAGAAGCGAGGCTGTAAAAGTCAAAGCAAAAGCAAGGCGGTAAAATTCAACCACCAGTCCTTCATCACCTTAGACCAAAAAGTGTGGATACAGATCTCAAAGAAACCGTCCGTCCTAGGGCATTAGTAGAAGGATGAATTAAATTTTGGGTCTTGGTGATATTTATCTGTCACTCACTTGTCAATCATTGCATAATACTGTACGCGAATATTTAGACACTCGTGTCCCGCTGGGTTGAGCCAGATTCCGGCTGTAGTTTGGAGTATTTGATTAAACCGGTTTTTCTCGGGTTCAACTTCAAAAATGGCGCCTAATAGGCAGAGCTGTAAAAAATTTAACCAAATTCTGTATCCATGGCTTTGCCAGCCAATGGCGAGACTCAGTCTGCCATTTTTCCAGTTTCTCGAGTCAACCGAGTGTACCAAAGGTGGCTTCGATCAGGAAGGACCGAAAACGCATGAGGATAATGGGTTCTGCCAATGGCACCGGCAAGTCCGGTTGGACCAAATGACTGACTGGTTGAGTCCGGCACTTTTGAAAGCATAGTTCACACTCGTGCCCTGAAAGGAATCTATTTGTTGACATCCTTTGGTCAACAACCCAAATTGCAGATGTGCATAAAAAACTGGTTTTCAAAGCATGTTGGAGTACCTTTCATTTCGTTTGAAGCGGCGAGTAGAAGAGCTTCGTAGGTTGGCTACCACAGAAGCTGTGGGTGGATTGCCTTGGACTTTTCAGTTCATCATACTCTATTCGCTGGAAGCGGAATTGTGGCACACTTCTGAGGTTTCAGTTGCAGCCCAAAATCCCACACTCCGTCGGTTTTCAACTCCGTCTGCCACTTTAATTCATGCTTGAGTACGTTTCATTTCGTTCGAAGAGGCGAGTGAAGTTGGCTTCGTCAGAAGCTGTGGCGGATTGTCTTGAGGCTGTGATTGTAGATTTCTGCGAATAGCTGATCGACGCGCTGCCCAGCGACGCCGATGCTTCCCTGCTGAGCTTTCGTCGGTCATGTGATGATGAATTATCGTAAATCATGGTACCCTGCTCTGACAATGTCTGCCATATGACGAGCGAAAGATCAGCAAGTATTCACCGGCGTTGCCGGGCGGTGCACCGAGGACCTATTCGCACAAGTCTACAATCACAACTCCACGGAGCGTTATGGACTTATTCAACGCTTTTTCAGCCTAATTCGCCTATTTCCTCCATCGGTCTCTTGTGTCGTGTGAAAATCGTTTCGCAATCTTTGGATTATTTGCTTCGTGTTGAATGATGGAATATTAACTATGCTACAAAGTCTTTCAAAAGTCTTACACTATAGCACTATGCCGTGCCCAACTTCACGAAGGGAATTTCAACCCTACACCCTCCGAAAAGACTAAGTTCTTGATCCTGCCAATGGCAACCTCTTTCAACTGAAATGGTCAACGGTATTGGCAACCGTGAGACAACCACAGACCGGGCTCACTGGCGAATGATGACGATCTAGCGAAACATGGCCATTAAGTACTCGAGCCTACAGATGATGACTCACTGCGTAGTGAAAGTCGTAACGGCTTAGAGTGTGTCACCGAGGGGATGACGCGTTTGCTCAGGAAGCCACAGGTTTATGGTTCGAGGCCCGCTAGAGATGCTGAGGCTAAGTCGAGTGGGATTCATTAACATAAAAGACAACGGCAGATTCCTCTTGACCAGCTGTCCATTGGCTTTACTGGAAGATTCATGCTGACGCTGTCTCCGAGGCAATGTCCTTCCGTTCCGGTCAAAAGGTGCTAAACTTTCGTCCGTCATATGACGAACATCCTCAGGGCAAGGTATCATCGTCACAACAAAAATCAAGCTAACGAGTCAAGAAAACAATTTAGTTGACTACTTCTCGCTTAGCTTAAATGCTCGCAGGTTCATTGCATAATTCATTCAACCTTTGATTCCGCAATATTGATGCGAGTTTTAGACTCGCGGGTACATGTGAGTTGTGTGCATGTATGTAATTGTTGAGCTTACTTCCATTTCGAGTGAAAGTGTTTGGTGAAGAAATTCGAAGGTCGGTTCCTTGACTCGTTAGCTTGACGATGTTACCTCGCTCCGTCATATGACGGACGAAAGCTTAGCACCTTTTCATCGGAATCGAAAGAGATCGCCTTGGAAACAGCGTCAACATGAATCTTCCAGTAAAGCCAATCGACAGCTGGTCAAGAGGAATCCGTCATCGTCTTCTGGTGGAACGACCCTTCGAATCTCTTCACCCAACACTTTCACTCGAAATGGAAGTATGCTCAACCATTATAAAACGAGAGATTCCGCAAAACCCAACTTTTATTCGCATGTATGTAATGCCCATGAGTCAGTTCACATGTAAGAACCCAAACGTGAATCAAGATAGATCAAGTTTCCTCTTCGGAATCAGTGACTCGCCTCGCCCGTTCTCCATCTCCCTAAACCTCTTTCATTGCCCGAACTAATTCTTGCTTAAGTTTCTGCACTAATTAATCGCTCGAAATGGAAGTAAGCTCAACAATAATGAAACAAGAGTTTCCTCGAAACCCAACTTTGCTTCGCATTCATTAAAATAGTCAAATCCTTTCAATTCGGATTTGGCGGACTCGCTAACTGGTACATCTTCACGGGAAGCAGGCTCCGGAAAAGGCTAAATAAAAGTCTTGCTAAGTTTATGAAATTTAAGGCTGTTTTTTGATTAATCTCTTATTATGGCATTATTTTGGAGAATTTTATTTTATATAAAAGGGTTTTGTAAAAAGCCTCCTAGGTCGAAGTTGTCACGAGTCTACGGCTGATTCCCTTTAAAGCCTCACCTTCATGGGGATGCAGTTTACATATAGCACATTCTAATTTGGCTGTAGTATGAAAGCAATTGTGGGACCTGGAATGCTCTATTGAAAATCTTCATGCTAGAACTCCGTTGTGGTTACTCAACTGTATGAGTGGCTGTACTAACGCATCTACAAGCGTAAACACATACACACACACACACACACACACATTTAAATATAAAATTGTCATTCTCTATCTAACTACATGTATACACAAATATTTCTAGTTTCCAATTTTGAGTATAGATAAACTGTTAAGTAGAGCTAGTTCGTCTTTGTGGCCTAGTGTCGACATGTCGATTTTGTAGGAGGCTGTCCGAATCCCAATGAGGATGTCCCGTGGCATGCGTTATGCATAGAAGCCACAGCAAAACCAAACGACTGCAGAGCGACGAGCAGCTCTTCTTCAGGCATTTCTAAAAGAACTCCAATTCACCATAACACTCTCATTTTAGCCATAGTTGACCCCAGCTGGAGGCCTGGCTATACCTCAGCCCTCGAAAGTTTCGCTCTGCCGAGCAACATTTTGCTAAAACTCACCTTAATTATCCCCTTGTCCCCTGTTCTCAGCACACCTAAGCCGGATAGAAAATTTGTTTGCAGTCCACTGATTAAGTATAAATTTGGGTGCTGTATGCAATTACTACAAAGTCACTAATACTCACTGACACTCACAGAAAGCCCAGAGGGAAGACATCCTGTACGCTGGACAGACATTCGAATCACTTCTGTCCCCGCAACAAATTGTGTCCACATTTAGAATATCCTCTGGGATTCTCGTCATTTATAACCTTTGTCTAGGGAGTTGGAAATACCTCGGTGTATGTGGGCTGGAGTGTACAGCTCACACACACACACACACACACGCAAACCTCAACCAGAAAAGAAGTTATTTGCTGAAACACGGTACTACACTCCGACCTACCCTGCCTACTCAGATGTGGTCCAATGTGGCGTGTCACTCGGAGTCCTCTGGGAGGGTCCAATGACAACGGACTGCCTCGACTTTGACGACCTTAGAGGAGTGTGAGTCATCGCGATGAGGTGCCTTCGAGACAGGCTGATATGACGAATGGAGATGCGGTAACCTGAGCTCCAGCTCTGGTCTGTCGTCGACTAGCAACTGGGCCTGTCGCCCATACAGTCAAGTGAGCTGACTACAAAACGACATCCACTTTGAAAATTATCCTTTCATTCAGTGAAGCTAAGACATATTTCGGCACTCAGGCAGAAGCGCTAATTTCAAAAGGGGGGAGGGTAAAGTGATAATTAATGAAACTCTTTAGACTCAACCTTCCCAACGGGGTTCATGTTTACAGGAAGATCTCGAACAATGTAGCTCATGTTTCATATTCTGCGTCATGCCACATATTCCCGTAATCATATGAGTAGGTCTCATGCTACTATTGAATTTTGCTTGACCATGCCACTGAGAAGGCTATCTCTTCCAGGATGGTCTACAGTTTCAACCTCGCCTGGTTCTCATCAGGGCTGTTGCTTCATTTCGGATTAAAATGCATGATGAAGAGATTTATTGCTTGATCCGAAGGTAGGATATCAGCCACTTTCAGTTGTTCTGCC